GGTTCACAGTCTATTCCATATCAATCCCAAGTTAAACACATCCAAGGGGCAGAGAAAATTGTGGATAATCTTTCCTGGCTCAGTAGAGTGCGTACAGGAGGTAAATAATCCATACTATCCATAAAGGTGAAACAGAAGGCCCCACTGGTGCACAGGCCCTGCTCATGGACCCATGCGAAGGACAGTGAGGCTTTGACCATGTCTCCTGCATCCCACTCTTCAAAGAACCATGGATTCCAACTGTACCTGGTCCTAGCTCAGCTCTGTGAGGTGAGGGATGACTTCTTGTTCACCTCGTCCCGATTTGCAAGGAACGACCAACAACCTCGCCTCTACAACGAAACAAAAATACTTGTCCAAATGCTTTTTACCTTCCCTTTTCAGCAGGGAATTGTATATAGCTGTCACAGCTAATTTTGTATAAATTCTCTTTGTCCACGAAGCTCAGAAGCCTTCTCCCCCCGACATCCATGGGGAAATCCAGCCAGCACCTAGAGACACCTCTGTGTGATGGGACATAGAAGTTCCTCTATTCATCTCAGGCTGTCATTAATTATGCCTACAGCTCTTGAAGATCTTATTAACAGCAAACATGAATAAACTGCACTGTCCTCATGTAGATTAATGAATTTACAACCTGTGTCTATTTACCATAAACCCATCTCTCCTGTATGAAAGCTCAGCGGGCCAGCAGTGAACAGTTTTAATACTGTGTTATTTTCTCATGATTTCCATTTCAGTCACTGCAATGTGGAATTGGTTCTCATTATCACAATTACCATTGATGCTCAGGTTGAAACTAAGTAAGATGCCTTTTTTATCTTTCAATCTATATTTTTTCTGAAGGAAACTACTGTTAAAACATGATAGACATTTATTTAATTGCTTTCTGAGCAAATCCTAAGCCATACAACAGCACAGAGGTCAAGAAGAGAAAATCTTTGGGTTTTACTGACATTTCAGAGCGTCATCATTAGATAAGACCTTGAGACATCTGCATGTTAGTTAATGGTTCTTCTGCTTTCATGGATAATGACCTATTTCTCACAGAAGAGCTAATATCTATAAATTTCTCATTTGCTGCCTCGAGATTTTATTAAAAACTAAGATATTTGAACCCTGTGTTTCATGTATCAAATTATAACTGTAAAGATTTTTTTCAGCTGCTTGAAAATGGTCATATACAGAGAAAGTACTGCCTCTTTTTTACCTCTCACAAAAAAACTCCATGTTCTGATAGATGAGAGATACTATTCAGTGTATAAAGGCTTCTTAGTTTTGTCATGTTTTTAGTCCTGCTCATTATTAGATGAATAACCCCAGAACCTGCATCATTAAACGTTAAAAAAAAGAAAGAGAAATCCCATCTTATTAGAGCCACTGCTACACCAAGAGATAAGAGTCCATGTGCATGTATTACATATATCATCCCAGCTGTCAGAGGACAGCTCTCATGTTTAAGTGATTTAAGATTATGGATCAGAGGCCACTTACTTCCCCTTAAGTAATAATAATAAATATGCTAATGCTTTTAGTGTCATTGTTAATTCCTTGTTTGTGAACACTCAGAGACAGGCTGAAGCACTGTGGTTTGAAGATGGGATTTGAAGATGAGCTATTCCCAAGGAGATCAGAGAAACCAAATTCTGTGTTTAAAGCACTGGCACTTCAGCGTGGGAGCCCAAGTCCTCTTCCACATACAAGGAAAACAGAATGGGGCTTTAAGACAAAGTTCTGTTTGGGACATCTTGCTATACAAGCAGCAAGAACTAGGTCATTTAAGCTCCTCCATGCTAACTTCCTCTTTGCCTTCAGTTCCCATGCAAGGACTCATTCTTAAGGGTTTTAGCCAATATCTTTGGGGCTACACATTGAACACGTCATTCAAAGATAAATATTTGAGATATGAGGCAATGAATCAACACATGTGAAGTGGTAGTAATTCCAATCAAGTTATTAACTTAAACTTCAATTTCAAGCATATTAATTTAAAATCTTTGGTTATCAAAGAAACACATGCACATGTGTTTACTCTTACCCCATCAATGCTAGGATCATTCAACACCATAGGAACCTACTGTAACACTCATAAGAAATTTCATTCTTTCTTCTTGTTCTTGGAATCGGGATTTCAAAACAAACCCATTTCAACATGCTGAGTGGCTGAATCAAATGTATCACATATTGGTTGGAAATGATGTTGCAAAACATGTTCCAATGTGACAGTGAGATATATTTGGAACCACTTAGGATGCAACAGTGTATGTTATGTTGCAAAACATCCTTGGATGATGGAAACTGTCTGGGGTGTCTGATGGAAAATGAAAAGGTGAGAAATTCCTCACTACTTATCATGTGCCAGGAGCACATGTGTTTTGCAAGATAATACGAAGCTTAATGAAAGGTTCATAAAATTAAGGAGAATGGGAAATCGTGTGATGCAAATTTATCCATAAGCTGATCAGAATGTCATTACTGGAGCTTTGAAAACTAGACTGGTAGGAACCCCTAAGGTCAGGTCCAGGCTGTCAGACAAAGCAGGGCAGAGAAGCAATTCAAGACCTGGGGCAATAATCCTGTTTTCCAAACTACACAGGAGCACCATCTGGATTTTGCAGCTCAGCTGCAGATGCAGTGTACTCTCATTAGCCCCACTCTATCTGTGCTAATAAATCTGACTTGATGCTGGGGATCTTGGAGGTCCCTGCAGTGTGCTCCCCTCCACATCCTGCTCTAGATTTGGTACAGAAGGAATCAATTTAAATGTACAGGGTCTTACAGCAGGGCTTGAAATGGTACTGAAGGAACCAAGGCAAGAGAAATGATCCACCCTAGATGACTAGTCTCTGGGACTGTACTGCTGTTTTATGATTTTTCAGATGGGATTTACAACATTTTCTCTTTTATTTTGGTGAAGAACCTCATAACACTTTCCTAAGTGGAGATAAATGTAGGAAGACTGCCTGGCTACAACACAGCTTTCCACCCTTTTGCTAAAGCAAATCCAGACTTTGTCTAAGGTCCTGCACTGGAAAGCAAACTGCCTGATCCTTACACTCCTACAGGCCCTGGGATGCTCTGTGCAGGTGCTACAGGCCACTGGTGCTGTTGCTTTTGCAGCCTTGCAGGCTGTAAGGGATACAAACCCCCAAAATATTCAAACTGGTGCTCAGGCTCTGACATTCATCTTGTCTCTGTTCATCTGTAAGATGGGCTTTTCTGGGAAGCTTGATTAGATGCAATTACTGATGTCCAGATGTAGAGGTTCCTGAAATCCATTGTTTTAAATAGTTTTTGGATCCAGGCCTATGTTTAGGCAAGTCTTCACCAAGGGAAAATTGCTTAAAACCTAAGTCACAGATTTTACAGGCATATTAATTATCTAGCTAAGCAGCCACTCCATCTTACAGATTGGAGAGCACTGCTTACCATGAGTCGAAGATTATGGCTCTAACTGCATTTTTGTAATCTATAAAACCGGACATGCGGAAATTATGGAAGGAAATTTCAGTAATTAAAGCATAGGTTCTCCTAATTAACTGCAAAGCATCATTAAAATCTAATGAAACTGTAGTGGATTAACACAGGACTCTGGCTTAACTGCAAGGAGATAAATGCAAATGAAAGATGAATTTTCACATGGTTTGAAGTTTACACAATAGGATTGAATGCATTTACAGTAGTTTACAATATAAAAGCTCATTTTTAGCACTGTATGAATCAGCATTGGGAAGTTAGGGTATTAGTGTATAAGAAGTTAACATTAAAGAATGTGGCATACTGCAGTGCAAGAAATAAAAACCTTTATTACTTGAAGTAGTTGTATTTGTGATGGTAAATCTAATTTCAGAGCAGATTATTAATAAAAGAAGTGCTGTTGCATCAGCATGATGTGAGACTAAATTTTTGAGTGCAGAGTCTTCTTCTTGGCATATCTGAACAAGTTGCATCATCACTCTGTATTGTGCAAAAGATTCAACTGAAGAAAGAACTTTTAAGCTCTGCAAGCACCAGACATTTCAAAATATTCATCTGTCGTGATGCTTCCTTACCCCCCCTCAGACACGTGATTTTTAAATGCTTAGGAGGGAAATCATGGATACTGGAACTTGTATGTCTAAATTAAGCTGATCCACAGAGGCCACAGCAGCATTGCTGATCTTCATTTGCCAAAAATCTAGACCTAAACCTGTTTTATCTTGCTTACATTCAAGGCATTGCAGGTAGAACCTCTCCCATCTGCCTTCAGCTCTCTGAAATATCCAAGGCTAGACAGACTTACTGCACATATCATGCAGTAAGAGAGGCCCTGAGAACAGTTCACGAGGTCTTTCCTGGCATAGGATGAATCACTCTCCCAAGATGACCTCCTTTAATCAGCTTTTCAAGAAACCTAAATGACCAGTACTTCTGGAGGGCTGAAGTCCTGTAGGACTTCTACCCTGCATGGATGCCAACAGTATCACATTCTACGCATTTCCCTACCAAAGCCATAAAGTGCTAGTCCAGAGATTTTAGCTGAAGGAGATCAATCTCTACTGCCATTAAATCCTATACTAATTATGATGATGGATATGTCGATGTCCTGGGCATCAGCAAAAGGTCCAAGCCAATCAAACTCATTTAATTGCAACACACAAATGCCAATATTTCTCAGGATAATACCAATGTAATTTAGACACCAAATTATGTTCTCAGACTAATTTGAAGACCAATTTCCCGTTGATTTTAGTAGTTAAGTACATTAAAATTATTTAGTATTTAGACAAACTAAGACTGGAAAGCAGAAAACATTTACCATAATGAAAAATACAGGCACATTTTCAAAGCAGCAAAACAGTCCATTTTTAAAACAACCAGGTTTTGTTCCAAACACAAACACTATGAAAGAGTAGCATGCAGTTAAGAATTTGTTAGTAAGTTATAAAATCTTGTTTCTAGGAAACCACACAATGGACACAAACTCTTGCTATGTAAATTGTTATCTCATGTACTCATACCTTTTCTGTGTCAATTCCTTTCGACATGGACCAGGTTGAGACAATATAATCCATGACTCTTTCACTAAGGCCTTTTGGGACTTGATATAATTTTAGGAAATCCCTCACATTGTTGAGCATCTCATGGTATCGGTTGGTGTTGGCATACATTTGCTGGAAAATGGTGGTGACATTTCCAAAAATAGTTGCATAAAGAAGAGCTGAGAAAAAACCAAAAAGGAATTAGAAATAAATATGTATGCTCTAGTAAATGCTAATCATAATTCACAGATAATGACAGAGAATGTTATGTTTGGTTACAAATTACTGCAAATACATAGGTGTAAACTGAAAATTTCTATTTATGCTCACATTCTTACACACATACTTGTACAGAACTGTTTGCTGAATTTACCCATACAGCTCCTACAGCCACCCAGTGTGCATTAATTTACAAAATCAGTCATACTGATAATGTCCACACATGGGATTATTTAAAAACAGCTAGTGCATCTTAACTCCATAGTCTATACTAATCCAAACTAATTTTCAAACAGTTTCATTCTGCCAGTAAACCTTGAAGGCACTATCCAAAGAATAGTGTTGATCTCCTGGGAGACTGGCTCAGTTACTTCCTACTATGAGTAGAGAATAGCCTCAGTCCCAAGGATGAAATTAAATGGAGAAGAAAGGAACCCAGAAAGCCTGGCAAGGAGATAACAATACGAATAGGATCCTGTGTCAATGGCCAAGATGTTCACAAGAAAGATTCAGAGTGGCATATCACAGTCTAATATCACAACCAGCCCCAGCAGATAACCTGGGTATGTGATGTCAACTGCAGATGCCAGTCACTAATGATTCCAAAGAGAGAAAAACTGGACCAGCGAACAACAGAAAGTCCCATTGCTGAAGGCATAGGACTGGGGCAGGAGGAGGTCGTAGTAGACTAGGAAGTACTAATTCACACCTACTCCTGGAGTTAACTTCTCTTCTGGTTTGATTCTCCCTTTTCCAAACATGCCACCATTACTGTAAGGCTCAGGCAACTGAGATGTGCAGCACCAAAAATCACAGGCCATATTTGAGAAAATCTCATATTTTAGAAGCCTTTCCCACTGAAAAGTCATCAATATCAGTACATGATTACAAGTGTGATACAGTGAACACTAATTAATTAATTAGTTAATTTCTAAAGCCTAAATTTGGCAAAGCATTTCAGCCAAAACTTAAATGCACACCTTTACTAGTGCCATCTTGAATAGTGGTGGATTGAAGGATCCTCTTAAAGTCAAGTAAGTTATAGATGCCCTATAGGGTCACAATGTAATTAACCTTGCAAGCAAGCCCAAAATTACTGTCTCACATTAAACATTGCAGATTTTGTAGAAAAGAGAAATATTCTGATATCTCATAACACTAATGTGCTGTGCTACTCCAATATACAGAAATGTGCTTGTCATTTTTAATAATCTTTGCTCAGAGGTACTTTATAGCAGAATGCAGCTATGCATTTCCATATCACTTTTTTTTTTTTTGTAAAACAATAGCAGCCTACAAATGGCAAGAAATAACCCACTGTGAAAGGAAAAAATGCCTTCCATTGCTCAGCGCATGTCTTCCCTCTACACAACCCATTTCTATCCCATTACAGAAAACTCACTTTGTTCCACACTAATTCACTATTGTGCATCACCCATATTTGAGAGGTGGCAATTTAAAGAAACATGGTGGTTTCCTAAAACCTGTCTAATAGAAGAATTGTACTTCCACTTCACACATATGTCCAGGTAAAAATCAGATGTTGAAGTTTGTCAAACATACAACGTTCATTGTTTTATCAGAGTCTCGAGATTTTTCATCTTAACACACAAGAATACATCAAACAAGGTCACACAATGTATAGCAAAAATGAACACGAGGTTTCAGGTTTAGAAAAAACACCAGATCAATACTCTATGTGATGTCCAGAAATGAAGCTCAGTGCAAGGGTAGGATTTTTCCTTGCTTTCTTTACTGATTGCTTCATCATATCTGCAAGCTACTGAAAGGTTTTCAGATATACATCACCACTCAGAGTATAAGCATATGGACTAGAAAAAGATCTAGATGAATAAATACTACCTTTTTTTCTTCTTCAGATTTCTCTGCTCTTTAGGACTTTTGTAGTAGGACAAACTCGATGTAGTGTCACTTCTCCCAAGTGCAACATCCCTCATCCTTCTGAAGAACAGCTGCTGATTTATCATGCACTCATCTCATCAGATATGTGAGGGCACAATATCTCTTGTGTTGCCTCTGATGTTAGATGCACTTGCAAATCACTATGACTATAAATGTATAGAGAAGACCTAATTGCCCCCAAAATGTTGTCTTTCTGCATGAGTAGGATTTATGCCTGTAACATCAGCCAGACTGCATACACAATTACACTGCCTACAAGCCAACTGGCCATGCAAACCTACACAGAGGACACAGGCAGATTGAAAATGTGATACAGGGCCCTGTTAGGCTGGGAAAAAGAGATTCAACTCTGACACCTGCCAGGTTGGAAACAGCTAAGAATGCCATGGTGAAAACAGCTTGTCTGAAGCAACTGGCACCTCTTACTTTCTCTTGGCTAGAGAATTTGGAGAAAATATATGACCAGAAGAGAAATTCTGGTTCTATATCTAATAATATAGGGTCCTGGAAAACTGTACTTTTAAAAATTATGTTTCTTCAAGAAATTAAGGGTAGAATAAATCAGTGGATCAACGCTGCAAAATCCCTGTAAGCATTTACCAGCAGTACCTCACTAATCCAGAATTCACTAGCCTACAGGCTGTAGAGTCTGCACAAACCCAGCATTATCCCTCTGTTGGAAACCAAAGCCTTCCTATGCCTCCTATTGAAAATGGCAAAGGCACATGGTTGAGGTCATCCAAATCCTCCACTTCTCTCACAGGTTACTGCATGGGGGCTCTTTGGCAAACTTTTAAAGGGAACCTAGTTAGATGTTCACAACTTTGAAGCTGTGCCTCAAAGACCTTCCTCACTCGTGGTGCTTCCCTATGGCCACACTGGCAGCTGCTGAGACTGGTTTGCAGTTTTTGGGGGAGAGCAGATTTTTCATAATTTGGCATGAAAAATCCACCTCTTTTTGTTATCTGCTCCCCATCCCTGTTCTCTATATGATTACTAGAAAAGGACCTCATTTATAGAAAGCAAATATTTATTGTTTTGCAGGTCTTGATATGCAACAAAATGAGTTTGGCCTAATAAGGAAATAATATATCAATAAAATGATCTGCATTGAATTTGTTACACCTGTTGTAACACTCCACTACAAGGAAAAGGTCCTCTGCTTGGGATGGTCTAGTAAAAAGAGGTTAGTCTGCCTTTAAAATGTTACCTGCTTTTGCTCTTTCCCAGCCAGTTTTAGCTGCCAATATGACAGAGATGGGACAGAACAGAGAGATGAGCTGGATCAGCTCCTCAGCTGGCAGAGGTCTCAGCTCAGGGAGCACACTGGATTCCCTGTGCACAGATGCACATGTGCAGGAACAGGCACAGGCATGGACATGATGGTGAGCATCTAACACTGTTGTTACCTTCAAAGGTTTAAGGCTCTCTATCAATGACCCTTAGTGCCTGTAATTATCAAATGAAGATTTCTCAGACTATCCCTGTTGATGAGCAAATGTTGGAAGTGACAAGTGTGAGTCTTACCCCTCACCTTTAAAAAACAAAGGCAGAGATGCTGTACTGAGGGCGTTTCACTTTTGCTATATTTTAATTATTTTTGGCAGGCAGACTTGGCAGTAAAGATCATTTCATAGCTTCTGAAAGAAAATAAAATGCTGTGCCTCTCTTGACAGTAAAAGTATTTAAACAACCTCTAAAGAGATTTCTAAAGGTATTCGTACACTCTAATAGTTTTAATTTAGTCTCTCAGCCATAGTAAAAAGGTGAGATGAGGTTGAAGGTGAAATTACCCCATTTCATGAAATTACTACTTAGGTCAAACTGCATTTATTCACCTTCTCTTTAATGACCTGTGTTTCTCCAAACATTTCCTGTTATGTTCCTACAGTCACTCAATGCTCATTTACTTAACTGTTCTGTGTGTATATCTGGAATAGTCTTCACTAGATTTTAGAGAGATCAATTTGATACAATCATGCAAAAATATTTTTTCTCAGTCCTAAAGGTGAGGGAAGTAGTCCAATTGTTATTTTAGTTTCCATTTTTACTCTTCAGTGTGAAAAATCTCCCCCAAATTACATACGAAGACCTAAGTACCATATATTTTCACCTATAAAATGTGTTACTATATTTGCACTTACATAAAACAATTCTGAATGATTTATCAATAGTGTTACACGAATCTTTTAGCCTATTTGAAAAAAAAAGGAACTTCATGAAAAAAAATGACTCAGAGTTACCTAAATCATCCCAAAGCATTTCAGATCTCTTACTATCCTGACTATAGGCTAAATATGTCCAGATAGGAACATCTGCCTCAAAGAACTGAAGCTTTGATTGAGAGATCTAGTTTTCCTTATGGCCTGCTCTATGCTAGAGTGTTACTAATCTAAGCATATACAATGTTCCTCTAAACTGCAATTGTAAAGAAGATTAGAGAGGGTATATCAGTCTCTTCTCCCAAGTGTCAAGCAACAGGACAAGAGGAAATGGCCTCGAGTTGTGCCACAGGAGGTTTAGATTGGATATTAGGAAAATTTCTTCACTGAAGGGGTTGTCAAGCACTGGAACAGGCTATCCAGGACAATGGTGGAGACATCGTCACTGGAGGGATTAAAAAGACATGTAGATGTGGCACTGGGGACAGGACAAGCCAGGGCTCCTCAGTGCCGTGTTAGCAGCTGGACTCAATGACCTTAGACACCTTTTCCAGCTTAGATTGTTCTATGAAGCCTTGATCCTGGAATAATATAGATTTTCAGTTTTGCATGTTGATGTTAGATGCAACTTCTTCGATTAATTTTTGGAATTAGTTATTCCTGTAAGATTATTAGAGTATTATTCAAGCTCTATCATTCAGGACAGATGCGATACAAACTCCAATATACATTGTATAAATATAATTACAGAGAAGCCCAGTACTCAAATATCTGATTTACTATTTTAAAAGCTGATACGTTTGCTGTTATTTCTTTCCACCTCACCTTAAAACATCTGATTAGACTGCAAACCTTTTGCAGGTGCTATTTGGTGC